TGTCACCAGCAAAGGAAGCCAACACTCAGCACTCCTCACTTCCTAACCTGATTTCCTCCTGTGGTCCCCACGATGCTGGCATTACTGTGTTTCTTTTGTGTGCGTGGTGCAAACACCGACCCATGGTGTGCCTGTCACGCTTTACGTCTCTGCCCTGCTCTGTCTCCAGCCATGTGTCGACGGCTCAGGTACCCACCATGCAGATACCACGGGGCCACACCAGGAGCACAGGTCCCCATGCCTGGGGAGCTTCCAGTGCCACTGAAGTGTTGTGAAAAGTGACACAGTGCCCCACTTCTGACCCAGAAGTCTATGGCCTGGGAAGGCAGCAGAAGACGGTCCAAGTCCTTGGGCCCCTGCACCCACAAGGGAGACCTGGGAGAGGCTCCTGGCTCCTGGCTTCAGCCTGGCTCAGCCCCAGCCAGTGTGGCAAATTGGAGAGTGAACCTGCGGATGAAAGATTCTCTCTCTCTCTCTCTCTCTCTCTCTCTCTCTGACTCTCTCTCTCTCTCTGACTCTCTTTCTCTTTCTCTCTCTTTCTCTCTCTCTCTCTCTCTGACTCTCTGACTCTCCTCCTCTGTGTTACTCTGCCTTTGGAAAAAAATGAAAAAATCTTTTTTAAAAAACTGAATATGTGGGACAGAACCAGCAAAAAAAAAAAAAAAAGTGTTCCTGGCCCTGAAACGAGTGGGGGTCTCAGGTGAACTTCCGGGCCTCTGGGTCGCAGGGTTTTCCATATGGACGATCCCACCAGACCCCAAGCCCCACTAGAGGAGAGGGCCACCCAATCAAAACTGCCTTGAGTCACAGCTGAAAGGCTTGTAAAAACCCCAGCAGAAATATAGATAAATAGATAGATAGATAGATAGATAGATAGATAGATAGACAGACAGATAAAGTGAACCGCCGCCCTGTGCACCCCTCCCCACCCGGCTCACTGGGGGCTCCTTCCCACAGCCCCCTGCTGCTGAGCCCAGAAACACTCACGGCCGCCACCTGCTCGAGTCCTGCCTTTCTCTGGCTAAACCACGACGGTGCCGTTGTGAAAGTTACAACCGGAGGGCACCGCGCGTCTGCTTCCCCACGTGGTTATCACTCCCATTCTCATTTCCAGTCCAGAGCCGGGAACTCACGGTCTCCCGAGTCGGGGGCAGGAAGCCAAGTCCTTGAGCCATTACTGCTGCCGCCCAGGGTTCATGGCATCAGGGAGCCCGCGCCACGAGCCAGAACCGTGACTCGAACCCAGGTTCTCGATGTAGTAAGTACGCGGGCGTTTCACCCACATGGCAGGACACCTGCCCCTGTTCTGCTCTGAAGAGGAGAAGGCTGCATTTGTGAGAACATCCGCATCTGAGTAAGGCAAATTCCCGCAGTAGCTGGAGGTGCAGAGACACCTGTTAACCCGTCCCAGCTACGCTCTCTACCTTGTACTCTGCCCGCCCTCCAGTCCCGCCCCGAGACAGAGGGCAGCACTCGGGCCATTTGAGGTTGACCAACCTTGCAAGCTGCTGTCTGAGGGTTCAGGGCTGTTAGGGGCCAGGTCAGCACTTGGGATGCGATCATGGTTGCCTACCTTGAGGTTCAGAAAGGAGCTGATTGGAAGGAGCGGTGCGTTCTGCTTGTTAGAATGCACAGGAAGGCTCCTGGCTACAGCCCCACGGTGAAGAAGCGAGCAGCCAGCAGCGATGGGCTTGTCCCTGCCTCCTGCATGGCCAGGACTGAGGGGACATGGCAGCATTCGGGGGCGGTGCCAGCTTGTAAATCCACCCAGAACCTCGAGTGCCAGAGGGGACCTGAGCCGGCCCGTGACCCAGGGAGGCCGACCAAGTTCAGAGCCGCTCGCTGCCACCGTGGGCGGTTAAGCCTCGTGGGGCTCAGACTCCCCAGCTGTGGACTGGAGATGGCGGCATCTCTGTGGGAGTACCACAGAGCCCGGGCACGGCTTCGCACCTGAGCCTGCTCCGACACCTCAGCTCCCCCCGCCCCCGCCAGCGACCTGGCCAAGGTGTTGCCAGTGTGGACCTCACTCCTCCCCAGAAGCAGCTCCAGGGAAGTTGGAGGGGAGCCCCAGGCTGTGGCCTCAGACCTCAGGCAGGCCTTGGGTCATGATAGCAAGCCAGTGGCCACCAGCTGGAGTGGGGGTGCGTCCCCACAAGCCGAGCCCCGACTTGGCCGAGGTCTTGGGCTCTCTTTGTCCCTCCAGGGGTGGGGCGGGGTGGTGGAGCTCTGTTCAATGCATAAGTGGAAGACACAGTTTCGAGGATTCCATAGCTGAGGTTCTGGGAGGAGGGGCTGTCCCACTGCAGTGACTCCTGGGCCCCCGCGGTTTCCAGAGCCTTCTGCTCCCCCAGCCTTCACTGATACAAACCCCGCAGCCCCTCGTTGGTAGCCTGAGCAGCCAACCTACTCTGTTAATGTAAAGTCAAGTCTTAACAGGGGCAGTGACTGTTGTCCTGTGAGAGGCAACAGATGGAAGGACAGACGGACAGAGGACGAGCTCCCGACAATGGTTCATTCCCCAAATGCCCACCACTGCTGGGTCCAGGAGTGGGGAACTCCGTCCCACCTCCCACGTGGGTGGCAGGGACCCAGTAATGGGGCCCATTGTTTCTGCCTCCCGGGGTCCGAATTAGCAGGCAGCAGAGTCAGGAGCTGCAGCCGAGGGGACCCGAGCCCTGCCGTGCGGGACGAGCAAGTCCCAGCCAGCATCTTCACTGCCCGGCCACATGGCCGATGGCTTCTAACCTGCTGCTTTGTAACCCAAGCAGTCAATGATCTGGAGCAAGGAGGCTACCATGGGAGCCCCCCCCCCCACACACACACCAGTTCTTGGAAAATCCAAGGCAGGAAAGGGACTTGCTTAAACAGAGGGGTCAGAGGAGGGCAGAGGCAGGGTGGCCAGGCCGGCGTGTGCGGCTCCAGCAAAGTCCGTCAGCAAGGAGGCGTTCCCGGCCCCTCTTCCCACGCTTCCTCCACCCAGACGCCGACGGCAGTGGCTTTCCAGACCGCAGAAGGGTGCCCGCCGGGGCGGTGTCACAGACGCTCCTCTGTGGTCAGTGAACTTGAGGGCCCTCTCGACGACGCTCACTGCCCAGACAGGCTCTCCAAAGGCCGGCTCTATTCCTCAGCACCTGCACTCAAGAGACAGCGCTCCGGGGTCTGGTGACAAGGATCTGTCTACAGGGAGACGATGCTGTTTCCGGGTCCGACAGTACAGAGAAGGATGCGGAGCCTGGGATGACGGTGTGGGTCGCCTAACGTTGCTGTAACAACACTTGGGTGCCACCTGCTGCACGTGGGGCCGTGGCATTACCTTGTGGTGCTCTGTGCAGTGGAAGTGCCATTGGGAGAGAAGCAGAGACCAGGTAGGGACCCAGTTTCCTCTTGCTCTGTTAATGATCGATCCCTAGCTAGCCAGGAGGCCCTGAACGGCCCCCGGTCACACCCCAGACCACGGGTGGGCACTTGCTGTCTGCCTTCCTGCTGAACAATGAGCCACTAGAGGGCAGGGCACAGAGGTCTCGGCAAAGGAGACCTCCAGCCGCTGCACACAGCCTGCACCAGGTGAGCAGGTGGGCGCTGAGCCATGGAGGGGACGGGGGTGAGGGAGGACTGAGCAGCACAGCAGGTGCACCTGGCCTCCCGCCCCCTTCAGACAGCCACTGTTCATCTCAGAAAAAGCAAGACACTTGTCGACCCCTGCAGCAGGAAAGACCAAGGCGCTGAGGAAAGCTGGGGGCGGGACGGCCAGAGCAGTGGCTGGGTGCACGGAGGGGAAACCCTCTGCAGCCTGCTTCGAACAGACAGGGAGAGCGACAGCCAACTCTGCTCGATGCCAGGAACTCTCACGCCAAGAAAAGTCCCGATGCTCTCAGAGAAGGAGCCGCCTGGTGGGACTTTCTCCACTTTCCTGGGGAAAGACATCGGCCGGGGCACTGGAGCAGCCCTGCACCCCTCCTGCTCTGCAGAGCCATGGGCGCTCCTCCTGCCGGGAGGGCTTCAGGGGCCGGCACCCCCCAGCCCCAGGCCTCCGTCCTGCACCCCTCGTCAGGGGGCAGCAGGAGTCAGCACGTGTGGGCTTTGGTGGGGAAATCAGCAAGGCCCTCTTACCTGCCTGGGGTCATCCTGAAGAGACCAGCCTGAAGCCATGCCTCCTGTGAGCCTTGGCGCTGTCCCCTGCGCCTCTCTGCGGGGCTGTCCCCGCCCCCGCCCCCCCCCCACTCAACCCGAGGACCCTTCCTCGCCCCCCATGGTCATTTTAGGAATTGTTACAATTGGTGCAAGGGGTGGGGGAGACAATTATCTAATTGTAGTAAAACTAATGGGGCCCTTCCCACCCCGGGCTGATGGTTGGTGCAAAACGTCATTTGCGATAAACCGTCTAAGGCTGGGGAGCCGACAAATAACCGGCAGGGGTGGGGGTGGGGGTGGGGTGGGGAGCTGCGTTTGGATCAGGGCGGGGCAGGAGCTGGGGGGAAGCCAGCGAGAGTCAGCGGGAGGCCCGGGCGGGGCGGGCGCTGAGGCTGCGCTCAAAGACGGAGCAACCGCCCCGGCGGAACCCCAGACTCGGGCCTCGGGTCTGTGATGGCGAGTGCGGGCCGGCTGCCCGCGGACCAAGTCCCCGCCCGCACAGGCCGCCAAAGTTGGCAAGTCTGTGGCTCTCCAGGTTCTCCTCACCCACCTCCCCCGCCAGCCCCCAGCGCCGCGCCTCGTCGGTCGCCAGCTGGACGGCCGCCCGCGCGGGGCTGTTCCCAGGTGTCGGCCTTTGTGCCCGGGAAACTTTGAGAGGCCGGGCGGGCGCAAGCTGCCCGCAGCCCTGCGCCCTGGAAGCTAAGAGGAGCCGGGCGGGAGGAGCCGGGGGCGCCGGACCGCGGGGTTCCAGGGCGGAGGCGAGCCGGGCGCGGAGCGGAGCCGTCAAACCGCGCGCGGGGCCGGGCGCGGGGCGGGGCGGGGCGGGGGCGGGGCAGCCGCGCGGGAGGAGCGCGGGCTCGGGCGCCGGAGAGCCCGCGTCTGTCGCCGCCGCCGCCGGCCCCGACTCGCGGGAGCGCAGGGTCTGCCCCGCGGCGCCCGCGGCCCCGGCGGGCGCACACCGCCATGCAGCTGCAGTGCCGGAGCTGGGTGCTGGCCGCGTTCGCGCTGCTCGTGGTACTGCTCCTCTTCGCCGACATCTCGGAGATCGAGGAAGACCTCGGGTAAATCCCCTCGCCGGGTGGGGCGCGAGCCCCCGCGAGGTCCCTGCGCGGCCGCTTTGTGTGCGCCGCGCCCCTCGCTCCTCTGGAGAGGTGGGGCGCGGCCCCGGGGCCCGGGACGGTGTGGGGAGCGCTGGGGCGGGGCGCGGCTGCGTGGGGCGGCCCCGGGCGGGGTCCCGAGCGGCCCTGGGTGCCCCCAGTCCAGAGGCGGACTCGTCCCCTCGGCCTCTTCCGCGACGAATCCGTGCGCGGCGTCGCCGGGGTCGCGGGAGGGCGCCGGGGAGTGTCTCGGGCGGGCGGCGGGGCCGAGAGCGTTGGGAGGCAGGAGTTTCTTTGTCTCCGGCTCGGCCGCTTTCTCGCCTTGGCAAAGTGGGCAGGGGGCGCGCGGAGATCTCGGAACGCGAGGCGGGGATCCCCGGGCTGGGGCGGAGCGCTGGGGTTCAGCTCGGGCCCCGGGGAGCGCGAATGTTCCCTGCACCCCCAGACACACGCGCGCGCCTCCCGCCGTCCCGGGAGCCCCGCGCGGACGCTGGCAGCGCTGGAGGCCGGGCGCGCGGGGCTGGGGCTGGGACTAGGGCTGGGCTAGAACCCCCAGGCCCCCGCCTTCGCCTGGCTTTTGTCGCCCAGCAGACCCCGCGACGCCCCCCGGCGACCCCGGGGTACTGTGCGCTCGCAGCGCCGAAAGGGAGACATTTCAGGAAAGTCTGTGCCGCCGCCCCGGGGTGGGCGGGGGGCTTCTGGGTTCCCAGGAGCACGGTCTCGCTCTCGCTGTCTCCCGAGTGGGTCAGGAACACGCGCCCCTCTTCCTCCGCCAACCCGGGACAACCCGGGGAGCGCGCTTGCGGCGCGGGACACAGGGCGCGGTGGCAGGGAGGCTGAGCTTGCGCCCCGCCCCGCCGGGCCCGGCCCCTCTCAGGAGCTCGAGGGGGAGGGGAAGCAGCTGGGGGTCTGGGAGGCGCTGGGCGAGGAGGTGGAGAGGTGTGGAGGAGCGGAGACCGTCCCCTCCTCGGTGGGAACTGTGCCTCCGAGCCGGCGCCCTGCCGCGCGCGCCACTCCTTTGTCCCGTTTGCTGTTTCATTGTCAGCGGAGGGGAGGCTCCGCCACGCCGCCAGGTCCGTCCGAGGGAAGCTGCGGTCCTGGGTCCCGGACGCCCAGGCCCCAAGGACCCCAGCCTGGAGCAGGCGCCACTCGCCCGCCCCTGCCCCTGTCTGCCAGCTCAGCTGTCCCCTGTGGGCTCGGCGGGGCTCCCAGGACCCCTCCCTCCAAGCCTTTCTCCTCCCCATCCTCGGCTGCCTCCCGCGCTCCGAAAACTTTCACCAACGGCTTTGCGTTCTTGCGCCATGAGCCATCGGCTCCCACGCGGAGACAGGGAGAGGGGCCACTTCCAAAGCTTCTCGACTCAAAAACGTGGGTCGGGAAGCAAATCGGTGAGTCGCGTCTTGGGGTGAGGGAGAACGCAGCCGGCAGGGCCTTCCTCCTGGGCGCCTGGCCTCCTCCATCGCGGTCCTGCGCGGCCCAGATGCTCGCTGACCTTCGAAGAGTGGGAGGGCGGGCCTGCGCTCTGCGCCCAGGGTTGTTCCACGGTGGAAAGGTGCGGGACAGCCTCCCCGATCCCCTAGCTGAACCCTCCCCTTACACCTTCTTAGCCAGAGACTTCAATTTTTAAAGCGCTTTGCACACAGCGTTGCACTTTCCTGTCAGTTGCCTCTCTGAGCCTCCACCCGCCCATCAAGCTGCTCCAACAGGTGCCAGGGAGGCAGCGCCCAGGCCTGGGCACACCTGTGTGTTTGAGGCTCTGGGGCACTGCTGTGTCCCTGACCCGTGTCACTGCGGGGTCCTGCTGCTTCCCATCCTGCCCCTTCCTGGGGTGATTTCAGGAGCAAACAGCCAACAGGTCAAATTGCCATCTTCTACGTCTTCCCTCTGCCCGATACCCCCGTGCTCAGGCTGAAGCTGGCTTGACCAGTCCCACGCCAGGCCTGAACACCCCTCATTCCAGCCTGATGTGCTGCCCTGGCTGGCGCTGGACCTGCCCCGTGATGGGGAGCATCACTCCAGCCGCACCCTCAGCCTGCCCTACCTGGACTGAATCCAGAGGAACAGAGGCCACTCTGGGATCCGGCAGGTGTGGAGCAGAGGGTGGGAACCCCAGTAGCACCTCCTGCCGAGTTCTGAGCCAGCTTGTAACACACACCCGCTTCATCCCTCCTCGGAGCCCGCCCTGCACAGCCAGCTGGGCTCAGTGCCAGGGAGGGGGGCGAGAGGAGCTCCCTCGCGGTGGCTCCCCAAGCCCACATCGTGTTACTCCAGCCCTGCTCATCCCCCCAGCTTGTCCTCCACCTGTGCTGGGGGCAGCTCGGGACCTGCCGGGGAGTCCCTGGGGGAAGGCAGGGGTTCACCGAGGCCCTGGGATCTCGGGGAAGGAAGGGAGCAAGCGATGTACACCTGAGCTGTGGAGGAAGACGCGCTCTGCTTCCTGGCACTCCTGCCTGCTACTTTATAAGGGAGGCTGTGGTGTGGCGCCTCAGTGGCCCTGGCCAGGGTTTTCGCGGAGGGCTGTTTCCGAGGGCTCTAGTGCTGATGCTCTTGCCGTCCTGCGGCAGGGGCTGAGTGAGAAGAGGAAGCACAGAGTTCAGCTCTCAGCGAAGCACCCAGAGTGGGGCCCAGTGGCCCAGGCGCACGCTCGCATCCTAAGCCAGAGCTCGGGGGAAGCTTTGCAGACACGGCAGAGCCTTCGCCCAGGAAGGGAGCGTGGGCGCCCCTGAAGGAACCCCGCCCCTACATCAGCGAGGGTGACTTTGAACCTGAGCAGCCACGCACCTGTGCAGGACCATACCCGGCAGGTGCGGGCAGGGCAGGCTTACACAGGCCTCGCCTGCCGTGACCCCTGCCCTAATCATCAGGGAGTGACAGAGCTCCAGTCAGGGTCAAGAGAGCGACAGCCGTCACAACATTGACGATGGTGACCACAGGTAGCATGGACTGAGCTACTTCCACGCGCCAAATGCTGTTCAGGGTGCTTTGCCAACACACTCACTCCTCAGCGGAACCCCCTGGCCACCTGCCGGTGGCACCAGGAACTCCGGTGTGCCAGGCACTGGGCCGACTGCTCTTTCCCAAGTCCACCCCAAACCCGTGTAAGCTGCGTGTCCATTGCCATGCGCAGTTTCCTGCTGGGGTGAGGCTCAGAAAGGCCGTGTGAGTGGGTAAGTCACGTGCCTGGACCCTCAGCCTACGGGAGCCCCAACCCCACGGCCGTGACCATCACGTGGCACTGCTGTGTCCTCTGAATCCTGTTCTCCCATGCGGTGTCAGGGAGTGGATGGTAGACCCGTCTTCCTGACTCCCCAGGCCCAGAGTTCTGCTCAGAGCCTGGTCTTGCCTTTCTCATTTCCTTGTCTGTAATTTAGGGAGGAAGAAGGTGGGTGAGGAGGAATGGAGACATTCCTGGGGCTCCTCACCCCAAAATGTCCATCTGGTCCAAGCGAGCTCCTGGGCTCACAGGTGGCCCTGGGGTGGACACGTCTCGGCGGGGCAGGTGCCTGCTCCATTGCACACCCGATTCTCGCGCCAGCTGGAGGGGCCGTCCCAGTGTCTGCAGACCCTAGGGTTGGGCTCCAGGGGTCTGGAGCAAGTGACCTCTCTCTGTGCCAACATGCTAGAGTGTACATCTGACCAGAGCTGCTGCCACCCAGGGCACCCCAGCCACACACCAGGCCCCGTCTGGGAAGTCTAACAGACACGGAGGCGCTAGCACGGACCCCCAGCTGGGGCTGGACTGTGAGTGGGCAGCGGCCCCGGTGTCCAGCTGAGATGGAGGGAGAGGCACGAGGTGTGGATGTCCAGGTGGACGAGAAGAAAGTGGCCTCGCACGGTGCCGTCCACGCCCGGCGTGAGAGCCAAGCGCCTCTCTTCTCCGCAGTCTTGGTGCACACCTCTCCAGTGGGAACAGGATTGGAGGATAAAACGGGAGAGAGGGGAGTTCTGGCTTTCACTCGCCTGCCCAAGTCCTGTTGCCAACTGTTCCCAGCATCAGATTTAAATTGTAAATAGAGCCCCATCTTAGAAACCAGGGCCGCCTCCCCTGTGAAGCAGGGTTGCTAGGTTTTAAAGTTGCTTAGGTTCTTCAAATTGGCAATGTTCGAAATTGCAAATTATAAATACTTCTCAGGGAGAGTGAGGTTCTAGAAGGCTCCCATTGTTTTTATTTCTAATTGTTCCTTTCATACTCGTTAAGTGATTTTGTTTGAAAGGGACAGACCGAGCTCGCCTGTGTGTTGGTTCACTCCCCAGACGCCCATAGCTGCCGTGGGCCAGGCTGAAGCCAAGAGCTGGCCCCTCAGTGTGGTCTCCTGTGTGGGTGGCAGGGATCCAACCACCGGAGCCACACCTGCTACCCCCCAGGGGGTGCATCAGCAGGAGCTGGGAGTGGGAGTGGGAGTGGAACCGCCACTCGAACCCCAGCTCTCCCATATGGAATGTGGGTGTCCCAGCCGACATCAGAACTGCTGTGCTAGGTGCCCATCCCCCACTGCTCTCAGCAGGGCACCCAGAGCCACACGTGGCCTGGCCTTGGCCTCTCTGCCCGGCCTCCCTGGGCTCCAGCCACCCTCTGTTGCTCACAGTTCTCCAGAATGTTCCGTGACTCCACTCCTGTGTGCCTTCGCACGTGCTGTTCTCCCGTCTAGATCACCCCACCCCTGCCCTGTGCCCCTGCCCTGCGCCCCTGTGCTGTGTTGAAGTCCTCGCCCTCCAGGGTGGCAGGGGGGTGTGGGAAGAAGCTGGGCCGCTGTCATGTTCTCCCCACCCAGCTAGGGAGCCGCCCTGTGTCCTGACGGGACCCGTCTGTCCCAGTGTGTCCTCGGCTTCAGCCGTGGCCGACTCCGCGGTGGTGCCGAGGGGAAGGGCTGCGACCACATGACCCTCCCAGGCATGAACCCCCCCGCTGGGCGCTAGGCTCCCGGAGGGCCCTGCACGAAGCAAGCTCTGGTCAGCCAGGGTTT